CCCCCCCCCCCCGCCCTGTAAAATCCCACATGTCCAAGGCCACAATGCTTAATCAGAAGCCATTGTAATCAGATCAAGGGCAGCTCAGTGCATTCTAGTGATGCTGCTCAATTAATGAAATGTTGTTTGTTTTGATCAAGGCATTGTAAACTTCCCAGTTTAAATCAGTCTTCAGATTTGAGGCCATATATGCTCACATTTCTACTACACAAGAAATAAACTTGCCTTTTTTATTGCCTTGCTACTCTCCAGAAGAGAAGAATGGCCTTTTTTTCTCTACATCCCAGTATTTTTCCAGATATTCACACTATATAGTAAGAAGATTTATGGGAATTAAGAACAAGGCTCAGGAAACTTGGATGTAGTGACCAGCTCCATAGTAGGCCTTCTGAGAAATCCTAAATAATGATTCTTCAGCCAGAACCTGACAAGTGTGGATGCCTTTTCTGGGCTTAAGCACTCTTTATATTGCTATTGAATGATTTCTCTCTGCACCAGCTGCATAACCAGCTCTTACCTCAGTCACCATCATAAGAACTGCAAGAAAGGACAGCTGAGGAGCAGGAACATCAGGAACAGATCAAGGACTAAGACTACGGAACTGGCAGGAACTTCTAGGACAGGTGAGAAGTGAGTCCTCAGGCTTCCCATTGGGTTAGCTGGTAGTCCTCTGGGAAACAGTCTGGCCACAGGGTTGCAAGGGAATTGGGGACAATCATAATGATAGCATTTTTTGGTTTAAGGGAATCCCCCTCTGATGAACGTATGTACAAGAACAGGTAACACAGCTTCTGCACCTTAGATAAAATAGGACAATTGTTTTCCTACTTCAACTTGGGTTATGTATTAATCTTGGGAGACTTTCTTGCTAAAAGGTACTGGGTATATGTAAAGTCTTGTTGCAATTAAGCAGTATTTTTTTTTAACCAAACAAAGTAAAAACCTGTAATGTGATGTGTCTACAGTCTAACAGGGAGCAGAGGAGAACAGAGCTTAGGTTTTCCAAATGCAAATATCTAAAATGGCTCACATATTGTTCTCTAAAAGGTGCCGCTTCTATTAAAAAGTTATGAAAAACTCTGGTCTGGATTTTGTAATGTAGATTTTTAAATATATAGCAGATTTAGATGAAATTAATCCTATTTTCTAGGAATCATTCTTTTTCAATTCATTTTTGGATCCTACTGACCTTAAAACTGTGACAAGTTAACTTTTACAACTGAATGAGAGCTGGAGGTATTCAACACCTGAACATTCACTCTACTACCATGCAAAAAATATAAAAGCACAGAGAACTGTAAAAGCATGGATGAACTGTATGATTGATAGAATTAAGAGATCCGCCTTTGTTTTCCTGGTCCTTAAGAACATAAAGAATTAAGAACATAAACTGACCAGTTTGTTTCAGTTTGTTGAGAGTCAGTAATTCAATGAAATGTTACATACTTTTTAATATGCAGGCAAGCCAGAAATCAATGGCAGGGTAGAACTTGAAGTTAATAAATTATTTAGGGCTGTCTCTTAACTGAGCATTTTTTCCAGGCATGTTTTTGAGTAGCTAAGTGTATTTGGAGACCTAGTTATTTTTCTCATACAGTCTCTGCCATTAGCTCTTTATCTGTCTAGAAGCCTAACTAGCTGCAGCTAAGAGTGCAGGTTGAAGACTTAACATAGATGAGTCATGATGGCTTAACAAGTTACCACCTGTCTCCTCAGTTGACATCACTCCCCATCACTGTTGTTTTCTTCCCCCTGAAGTCAAGGCAAAATGCATGAGACTCAACCCCATTCATTACCACTTAAGCTAGGAAACCTAACTCTTCAGGCAATCTCAGAGCTATGTAGTTACAGTGGCTTAGTAAATACATAATAGCTTTAATGAGCTTCTGTAACAATTCAAGCCAATGGCCTTACTACAACACAGAGTGGCATTCTATTTCAGCAATTTAGCTCTTTGTATCTGCTCTGCTAGCTTTCACCCTGCTTTTCCTTAAGCAAAGCCAGTACGAAGCTGCCCTTGATAAAGCAGTGTTCTAGACACGTACTCATTTCTCATCCTGTAAAGAGAGAGATGTAGGAAGGGAAGAAACCCCAATATCAGCATTTGTAGCTAAATTAGATACGGTTACACTTATATAACACTTAGTGCTGGTTATTTTATCCCCCATTTCTTTTAAACGTCTCTTGCCACAAGCTTGTTTTGCCCGGTATAAGCAGCTTCTCTGCTAGGAGATGTATTGGTATAATTTACAAAACTATTTCTGCATCACAAAAGCTAGCATAGACTGGGTCTTGGTAAATAAAATAGAACTTACGGTCAGCTTTTCTAAAGAGCTCAGCACATAATAGCTCACTTCACCATGTGCTTTTGAAAGCTGGACTGCATTAAGGTGTCTTTATGGGATCAGGGTTTGAAATAACTCAAATCCAGTATTTACTCTGAGGGTGCCTTAGCTCAAGAATAGAGACCTTGGCTCTTCTAGGGAGGGAGGGAGAAGTAATGAAGGATAAGGAGGAAAGAGAAAGGTGAGATTGCCCTTCCCCCCCCACTGTTACAGAACTGCTGATTTCTCTAATATGATTAAAGAAAAGGAAAAAAAAAAAAGAGTTGAAAGACTGTTTTGATTACATCTATTGCTTTGTGCTGCAGTGCCATAAAGAAAACAACCAAACTTTAATGTTCCCTCTGGAATAAAAACATGAGGAAGTAGAGTAGGAAATAGAGTTTTCTCTATTGTACCTGGCAGAATAAAGGTCTCAATTGTAAACTGCACTGGTATGGACATGCACTGCTGGGCTCAGGTCCTTGTTGGCACAACAATGAATAATGACAATAAAACCTACAGAATTATGCTGACATAATGTTTCTGTGAAGTTGCATCAATTCCCTACCCCTGGGCTAACTTGACACAGCACTGTCAACATGTATAACGCAGCTGATGTTTGGCAGTGGTTTAGAGGTGGATACAAACTTCTGCTTTGAACTGGAGCTCGTTAATCAAGATCAACTTCCTTTCATTTCTACTGCATTCAATGAAAAACTGGACAAATAAGAAGATTCCTATTCTTGGAGTCTGGAAGCTCAAACAAGCTTACTTACTGTAATGTGGCTGTCTTCTTCCTTTCTCTCTGAACACACCAGCATAGCTACAATTGCACTTGTATGTACAGGGGGTTGTGGACGAGCTTAGACAGTACAGAACGCAAGATAAGTTTCAACAGTTCAGATGTTTTGGAAATAATGACCTCTTTCCATTTTGGAGTTGCATTGGTATAAACTGAGCAGATAATAACAATGACAACAATATGCTGGTGCAATTGATCTAGGCAATAATCTGAATTTTAACAAAGAGAAAAAGCTGGGAAGAAGAGACATTTCCCCCCTATTCTCACTAACATTTCATTGTTCTTTTAATTAAGCCTTAAATTCTGTAGTCTGGTTCAGGTACTTTGAGTGCTACTAATGGACATCATTGTAGCAGCAGAAAGATTGACCTAGCAGTGTTAATACCCATATTATTTGTTTGAAACAAACCTTCCATGTGAACTTTCACACATTATTATAAAACAGCAATTAAAATGATTTGTTACTCTGATTCTTAATTATTTGAAACCTAAATGTTTGCCTCATTAAGAATCTGGAAGGATCATTATGTTTAAACACAATTGATATTGTTCATTCTCAGCCTCAAAAAAACTCCAAAAAAAAGCATGCAGTGGCAAAAACCACTTCTCATTTGAAAAATTTTGTGGACAGTAGTGGGAGTAGTAAAGAAATGTGGCTGCTTAGCAAAGAAGCTAACAGTGTTCAATAAGCATTTGAAGAAAAATGAGACTTCACAAATCAAATTCCATGTGTGAGCAGTTCACCTACAGCAAAGCTCAGGGCAACCAGAACCACCCCACTGTAACTCCTAGGCTGTTATAGTTCTGCATCTAGCAGTTGTAATTGATGCACTGCAAACACCCCCAACATGTATAAAGAACTGAGGGCCTTACGCGCTTACAACAGAAATAAAAACCTTGTTGTTTATGAAGGTATTCAGAGCTGTTGGTCTCCTTTCCTTCTCTTCCTTTCCTCTTTATTTTCTCATTGATTACAACTACTACTGCTGGTGACATTCACCACTCTTTGCTGTTCAACCCTGTTATCATCAAGTCTCACTGTTAGATTTTTATTCTGCTTCTACAACATAGCATCTCTGCAATTTTCAAAATTGTTTTCAAATTGTAGAGTCCTGTTTGTTCAGTCCTCATTTTGTTAGGCTGTGTTATCTACTGCTGTCCAATATCAGGCCTTGCCCATCTCACACTCCTTCTGAACCAGAAACAGCTATCAAAGACTTCACAGGAGTAAGTCATGCCTCCACAACAGCCTATCGTCCATCTCAGGAAATCAGACTCTTATGTTCTTTGGGTTGGCTTTTTCATGCTCTGTGTTCAGGTTGTTTGCATAGGGTTCTCAATCTGCTTTTGGAATATTTTCTAATATGTCAACATATCCAGAGTTTTACATTCCTCAGATGCAAACTCTGCTTGCGCTGAAGTTAATGGGAGCTTTCCTCCAAACAGCATGGCAAATTAATACCAAGTGCTGCCTTTGGGGCAGAGACTTCCACAGCATGCAGCAGAGCCGATGTAGTGGTTCCCATGGATAAGTATGGTACATGGATAAGGACTGCAGAGCAGCACAGCAGGGACAGCCCATGCTCACAGGCAAAGCTGCCCTCCAGAAAAGCAATGTGTGAGATCAGGTACCAGACTCTTCCTGCAACTTCACTTATACAAACCTTGACATGCAATGCATGGTAACTGATCAGAATTCAGAAAGATTGGCAATGATTCTACACTTCATTTTAATTCAAAGTCTGAGGGATTTTTAAGTCACAGTAAGTGCTACCAAGAAATTATTTAGTACACCTAAAAAACTCAGAAGACATTCTTTTTGCTGAAATGAACCATTCAAATGAAACATAACTGTTTCTGAAAAAGCTTATGTTTACAGATGTTTCTTTCTATATTTAAGAATTCATTCTTACTAAAATTTGATTTGAGCTTCAGAAAAACTTAAAAGCAGTCACTAAAACATGAATGACTATTTACAGAAATTCAGATTTAGAAGTCTCTCAGTCTATATCATCTATTTTTGATGCCTAACACTTAGAAATCTAAAAGAATTACTATGTCTATTCAGAATACTTATATGAAGTGTTCATAATAACAAAGTATGCTAGAGAAAAGTGCAATCACTCCATACTTAAAAAGCAGCGATGAAGTTGCATTCTTAAAGAAATAGAAGTTTTCCTGCCTGCAGAAAATACAAGTGAATATCTCCAAGTGTAGCTCAATCTCTTGAGGTTTTAATATTCTTTTAATATTCTTAACACTGGGAAATGATTAATATTAACTTCTTTACCGGAAAGAATTTATTTGAGTGACTACTGGTTAGAAAAGACCATCAAATCTTTTGTTAAAGTTGTATCCGTGTCACAAAATCTGGATGTCAAGTTTCCCAAGGCTGGGGCTGTTCAGTGCAGTTCTACCACTCCAAGGAGTGGCCAAATCCTTCCCTGCCTCAACCATTTCTCCTAGATCAACACATTCTTCCTTATAGAGCTCTGTCAGTCCCAGCTTTGTCTACATATTTCTACAATTGTATATTTCTACAATCGATGAGGAAACCATAATGTATTTCTACAAGTCACCAGTTTACAAGTGACTAGTGACCTCAGTGTTGGAAACATGGACTCCTCATCTAGCCTATATCTCACAATACTTCCATGTTCTTAACCTATTCAAGGAAACTAAGAAAGGAAAGTGGTAAAAATAAAATTAAGAAAAAGATCGAGGTCAGAGCAGCAAAGAGAGAGTCCTGAAAAAGTTTCAGGATGCACAGTAGCAATTATCATCTGGTACTTCATATAAAAAAGCTAAGCTATTTTTAATAAAGAGTTAAGAGTACATTGATGTATAATAAGACACAAAGAGCACTGCAACAGTAATGGTCTTGTTAAAAAACAGAAATACAGTTCTGAAGCAACTCCAGCTTCAGCAGTTTCCATTGCTACACTTCAATCAACTTCACAGAGAACTCTGCTTGAGCAGAATACACGCTTCCCAGACTGACATAAAAAAAAAATCAGCTCCACAAATGCCTTTAATGTAGCTTAACTTAACAGCACTCAGCCATAGGGCCAATCCACAACCAATTTAAAGAACACCCTGAAATACAACAGGGAGCTCAGGTCTTCAGCCCCAACTGCTTTGCCATGAAGTTTGCTCCTACTGATTGATACTTGCTAGGCATAGACCTAACTTCAAGCCAAATCCTCCAGTCCTTACTTACAGAAAGCCATACAAACAGATGAGAAACTGGTCTAAGTAATGACTTGCATTTGTGCTATCTGCATTCTGTAAGATTCCCCCTAAAAGCAGCCTGCAACTTGATATAAATAAGCTTTCAGAAGAGCTAGGCATAAATTCTCTTTTTCCAAGCAGCAGCCTTCAACAAACTGAGATTTAAATGAGTTAATTACCTGAAATCCTCCTGCTTTCATATAGGAATTTGCTGGACAGCATGAGATAAAGTCTGCTTTTATTTTTGGAGTACACTTCTCTTGTCCTGTGACTTGAACCTCACCTATAAATCAAAAGGATGCCTTTAAATTCTGCACCAATGTGCTTCTCACTGGTTCCTAGTAAAGCTGAAATCTAAAGAAAATTCTCTGTACAATTAGCTGACCTGGCATTGTAACTACAGCAAGCTCACAGTTTTCTAGCAGGAAAATCCTCTGCCAGGTGGGATTGATAGTGGTAAAATTTCTGCTACCTCTCCAGGTGTAATTAATGAAAAATTAAACTCACCTGCAAGCCCCAAGAAAACTGACAGAGGGGGTGGGGTTTTCCAGGGAAGCTGGGCTCTGAGTGAATTATTTTGTTGAGGTTTGACACTACATGCTGAAGCTTGTCTGGTCAAAATCTGATATCTGGACTTCCAGAAAATTAGTGATATTGGTGTTGCTGTGAGATGAGTTTAATCCTTGCGGCATTCAGCTGCCTGGGTGGCTTTCAGGCCTTGCTTTCCTATCCAAGCACATCAATAGAAGTGAGCTTTTTCTCTCTGGCACGTGGAACAGGCAGTTAAAGCTTTAAAGAAACAATTAATTAACTCCTAATTAAATTCCTAGACCTCTTCACTGCTAGCAGAGGAGATGGGGAGCAGAAAACGACAGAAAACCAGTACTCTTTTCTCCAGAGGTCCTTTCCAAGGCCTACAGCTCTGTAACACAGCCTGCTACAAACTGCTCTCTGCATTAAGGACTCAAAAAAGGGTTACTGGAAAATGGCAGTGGGTGTGCAGCAGCTGTTCTGTAAAATCTACCCATTCCTCCACACTGGAGGGCACCTTCAGCAGCAGCTGGGCCCCTGTGGCCTGGAAAAGCTGATGCAGCCATGCGGGCTGTGACTGTTTTCTCAGCCTGCTCCATCCCAATCTGTGGATAACATCTGATAAATGCCTATTTGCTTGCAAATGGACTCACTCCTAACTGCAGCCACTGTTGCTGGACTTATTTCTGGCTGCCCAAATCCCATTTCCCTTTGCATTTACAGTTACTTGTTGTAACCAAACCTACGCGTTCATGTGTACTGCCAGCTCCTGGGCACTCTTACAAACAAGGTAACGTCCCTATTGTTTCCAGAAAGCATGTTGTTGTTGACAATTTGCTGTCATGAACTTTAAAACCTCTCAGGTATACACTGACATGAAATAACCATACTTAAAACCAGTTTACTTATTAAAAATGCCACATCCTTTGGATTAAGTCTATCTTTATGTAAATAGTATGTTTTTTTTTTTTTTTTTTAAAGTAGCCCATCACAATTTAACCTCATTTTCTGGAGGAGTACTGTCGTATGGAAATTTAATTGCTCTAAACAGTGAGGGAAGATAATTATTAGAAAAATCATGGAACCATTTGAGTTGCAAAGGACCTTTAAAGATCATCTAGTCCTACTCCCCTGCATAGAACAGGGACACCTACATCTTGATCAAGGTGCTCAGAGCCCGGTCCATCCTGTATAGTAGTGAGTAACTAAGAAAGGAGAGGGTACATACTATCTTTTCCAGATGACAGAGTTTACAGCTGACATCTGTCAAAGACCTTAAGAAGCCTCCAAAACAAGCTAGTGAAAGTCACAATGACTTTTGGCCTTGCACCTCACAAAACTAAGTTGGAAACTGGTTTGAAACATGAAAGTGGTTTCACAGATAGAGAAAACCAATCAAAAGAGGAATAGACAAGAGCCTAGCAGGCAATTGTATCAGCCTCGCATACAGAAGTTGTAAATTGATTTAAATGGAGCCTGGATATCTTTCCCCCTCTCCCACGAGGGACAGAAACATTTTAACATCAAAATACTTACAGACAAGGGCTTTAAAGCAAAGCAAACAGCCTTGATTCCAAATGAAATTGTACTGACAAATCTGTTTTATCACAGCATAATGGTAATAAACACCGCTAGACAGGGGCTGGACTGAATTTAGAAGCAAGTTTCTATAATTAGTATGAAAATCATATTTGGTACCCAAATTAAGAACTGTTTTGTTAAATTATAAAGAAGTCATACTGGAGGAATTAACAAACACATAGCTGTAATTAACAGCCTATAAGTGCTGTATTTCCCTCATTCTACATTGTGTATAGAGGTTTGGTGCAGTTTTTTTTCTTTCACTGTGTGAAACTTTTTTTAGCTACTTGACTGCAGTAATGATTGATTATGGAGGCCACCACTTACAACAGTTAACTGTTGATGGATGATGCAGATACTGAGAGACCAGTAGCTTTTTTAGTAAAAGGAAGAGCACACTATGAATATAAAAAGAATGAATAATTAACACACAGAGTTAAGAAGCGTCCAACTTCTTTTTTCTTTAGTTGTAGCAATTGGACACATCAACATGATAGGAAAGGTGTTACAATAAAGATGTGATAACAAAAGGACCAGCACACTAGAAAGGTGCTATAAAGTAAGGGAAGAAGATTGCTCACCTGTATCAGGAGATTCTAGGTTTGAAGGGAAAGCTTCTCTAAGGAGAGACCTCCAGAAAAAGATCCTTTTCTTGTGGCAGTCAGCCCTTAAATGAGATCTAAGAGAGGTGTAGCCAGGCTTCACCCCTCTGGTCACACAGCTGAATTGCCTTCACCTGTGCTCCCAGGGCTGACTGGGTCCTTTCCCCAGGTGCTCAATCAGTGATTCAGGCCATGCCTCAACAGTTCCATACAACAGTATAACAAAAATCACTATTATTAAAGCTCAGCTGTGCATGAAGTATGTCTGTCAATAAAATGAATAGTATTTATTTAAAACACACACATGTGAACACACTCAATTACTAATTCCTCTATAAAGTAGTTCAGGATGTAAGTTGAGTTAATTGCTTTATACCAGTAGAAGATAGAGGCTATTTTCTCCAGATATTTCTGAACGTGTGTTATCTAAAATGCTTCAGTCTATACCTAATTAAGCAGATAAATAAATCTTACTGAAGCCAAATAAACTACTGATGTGATTAAAGGTGATACATTTAAATTCTTCTTGGAATTCAGATCCAAAATCTTAACTCCATCTGCAATCTGCAATGCATTTAGGTAGCTTTGGATGCTCACTTAAATCAATAGGATTAGATGTTTGCTTGAAGTTAGCAACAAATTTAAATGCCGTGCTAAAAAGTAAAGTACTCATGCAACAGATAAGCTGTGGTTGAAAGTTTGCAATAATTACTGAGGAATGTTTTTGAGAAACTGAAATATGTTCATTTTTCCATTAACTTTAAGCAAACTTTTAGACAAAAGAAAATATAATTAGTTCAATTTTCTTCATCACAGTACCTTATATTCCATCATCTCTCAGTGAGGAAAAAGTCATGGAAAAGGAAAATAATTCTTTTTTCAGTCCAGGGGTGGCAGAGTAGGGGAATATTAAGTTCCAAGTTCCTGATATTAGAAAAAAATAGGCATTTTTCAAATTAAGTAGTTCTGCATAGCAATGCATCATTGATTTTCTGTTTTTCTAACTGGGCAAACTGAATACAAGACTTATAGAAGGTTTTCATTTAAGAGTTCTGAGGTTGCTTCTGCTGACATGAATGTCTTTATTTTTTATAACACTTCCAACTTTTTTTTCATGGCTCTCAGATGAACTGGTACCCCAGATCGAAGTGCGAGAGGGAAGAAACAAAACAAAACAAAACAAAAAAAGCCAAGCCAGCATCTGTATTAAGAAACATTTTTATTAACAAAACAGTAAATTCCACTTGCTTAGCATTTCCGATAATGAATAAATTGGCCTTGCAACAAATAAAAAAATCGTAAATATCTATCACAGAAAGCACTATAAGGTTAGGGGCATTGGGCCTCTCTTCAATGTCTTAGGGTTGAAAGTTTCACACATTATTTAGTGTTTTGTTAAAAAAGGCAACACAATACAGTCATAGAAATGAAGCCATCTCAGTCAAACAAATTAGATTATTATAGAGTAGGGATCCAATTTTATGTTAGGTAGTTGTTTTATGTCAATTTGCTTGTTGTTGCTGCTGTTTTTAAACACAAAGGAATATTAAATCCATTTGCTGGCACTTCTGATATATCCATATTTGTTTTTTGTTAAATTACAAAATTAAAGAGGAAAAAGGAGAACCTTCAGAAACAGTATTAAAATTGTGTTTGTTTCTTATGGTAGTAGCAGAACTTTTTTTCCTTGATGTATGGATTTATTTAAAGATTAATCTACCAAACTGCCTGGAAGTTGACCTAACCATGCTATTTCATGAATGCAATCAATACCAAGCAGAAAAGACCATTCCATCTCACCCAAACCATATTCTGCCGTGTCCTATCTCCTACCATTGGTTTATTCTTGTTTTTCCACGTTTCTTCAGGCAATGAAATCTTTCAATACTGACCACCATCTGGCTTTCAACTTCTCTCCTGCCTCCAGCTCAAGTCTCTTGCTCCCAGCAATGACCCTCAGTATAACTTACCCTGCCTTTCCCTGAGTACAGCTGTCTTGCAAAGGTGGGAGGAATTAAATGCCGTAGGTGAACAACCATCTATGAAATGAGTTTTGAATAAATTTTGTGAAGCTGTTCTCATTTCTCTGAAAAAAAAAAAAAAAAATCATAAATACAACATAACACACCTTGTTGTGGTTGGCAACCTTCAAAAGAGGCATTTTTGTGTCAGCTACATGTATTTTTAAAGTGCTCTGACTCTGAGACAGATAGCTGTACCAGTTTTGTGCCTGCTGTTTAAAGCTGATTTTATATTCCTCCTTCCTGCCTGTAAAGTGTGAACATCTATATTCCGTCTCAGGAGGCCTTCCAATGATTTGGTTGATTTCCATCAAACTACCCTCTTTCTGTCTAATGTATTCCCTTTGAACTTCCATGTAAATAAAATGTTACGCTATGATTTATTGCTGTGAACCTAACAAAATAATACTGTAAAAAAAAAATAATCAAAACAACCCTTTAACATGTAAATTATAGCATTAGATTTAATACATTTAACTAAAATGCATTAATGCTTTATATATGCGAGAAAAGCTGCTATTTTAAAACATGATGAACTTATATTTATTGGTTATGATGCCTTGCAATACTGCACAATCAACTTAGCTAAATAATATTTTTTTATGTGTCAAAATGCCCACCATTGAAAAACACTATCGTGCACCTCGAGAGTATTTCTTTTGGAGAAATGGGTAAATTCTGCAGTAGATTCAGCCTGGATAATTAAAATGGGACTTTGTAGATCTTATACCATTCAATGCTGTAGTAACTGTTGTTCGTAAAACTGAATGCCAGATCAACACTACATGATACTTCCTAAGATTCTCAAGAAACTCATCATTCTCATAATTTTGTAAGAAGAGGTTCCTGTAAGGCAAACCATGCTCTTCAATAGTGAAGCTCGGACTGTAAGCCAAAGACCAGTCTCTAAATATTTAGCTAATTAATGAAAGTATATTTCTAGGAAAGTTGGCTATTCTGATCAACTTCATTGATGCATAATCGGGAGCGAGAGATGGGGATAGGAGGGAGAAGAAAAATTACAATAGATATATATTTTTGCTTTCTAGTCCACTTCTTTCATACAAACTACGAGAACTTAATTGCAACAGAATAGAGGCTGTACAGGTAAGAAAAAAATTAGCTGACTCTTATATACATTCATACACGTCCCCCTTAGTATAACCACTACACTGTAAATTAAAATGAGAAAGAAAAATTAAAAAGAAAAATCAAAGGAAAAAAAAAAGTCTGTGACAATTTATAATGGCTGCAAAAAAAATGAAGTATGTCTGTTGCTCCAGATGTCATAAAACTCTCTATACCTAGCAACACTTATAACATTGAGTTTACCAAAAATGGCTGAAGAGCGGATATAGTTTGCATTTTCTATACAACAGGCTATAAAACATCACTTATCACAGTCCAGAAAGCACATATAGATGTGTTTTTATATAAACATATGTAATAACATATTAAGCGTGCATGAAAATTTCCCAATGATTGCATCTATGCCCTCTTGTTTCCTCGTCTTTCTTTCTTTTTTTATTTTTTATTTTTGTGGAAATGTGCCTTATATTCCAGATTTTGTTTTGTTTTGTTTTTGAAAATAAGGCCTCCGTACTATTTTCCTCACAACCAGAAAGGGGCTTTTTGAAAGTATTTCTACATAAGTCTTCAGAAAAGCCAGCACTTTGTTTCAAATGCAAGTTTCCAATCACTGCTTCACTGCACCAGACGGCAAACTGTCTATGTTTGCTTGTTGAGTCACCATATATAATGACAGTCTTCTCTGACAATAAGACTAACTCACTTCTCAAGAAAGCACTAGCACTTTGGCTAAATCCAGAATCATAGGTAGCTTCTTTTTTTCTGTTTTTTTTTTTTTCCTGTTTTGTTTTGTTTTAAATTTGTTTTGTTTCATATTGTGCCTTGATGTTGTAGTAATACTCCTTGCTTTATGAATGCGTGGTGCCATCATTGTCTTTCAGAACTGTTCCAGCAACATAAAGACAGGCAGAGTAAATGAAAACACTGTGGATGTTAGGGAATTTATCAGCTCCCGTTTCTGAAAAACAAGAGCATGAAATGCTTGTTTTTAAAAACAGTCTTTCCTTTCTGATTGCATTCCCTGTCTTTTTTTGTTTGTTTTTGAATGTGCTTCATAAAAAGTAAAGTAAATAAGTTTGTATTATGTCTCAGATAAAATGAAGACTATTTCTATACAAGCGTTCATTTAGATGTTGAGATCAGACATAGTACTCCTTATCCTTATTTTTCTTGTTTTTGTTGGAACTTTTAGCGCTGTTGGGCTGTTTTTCCTTGATTACAGCCCCATTGGATTGTGCTGAGTTACTGATGTAGTTTCGACTCTCGTCTACGTGATACGATCCTTCGTCTCGGTTCCTGTACTTGTACATGGCATACAGGAGAATGAGGATACACAGCGCTGCCGCCGCCACGATCCCAACTACCATGCCTGTTGTGCTGCTGGATTCACGAATCACCTCAGATGAGCCAGGATACTCCCTTCCTCCTCCTGCCCTGGTAGGATTTGCTGTAGGTAGATAATGAAATAAGGGAGAGGTTATTATTGAGTTTGCGCATTGAAGAGTTAGTCGTATCTACATGCTACTACCGTGCATCTTTCTAATTGCACTCACTAGGTCGGGACTGTCTGCCAATGCCCACTACCCTACCAGTCCTGAAACGTTCAGGTTTGCAGCCTATTCTATTCTGATGTCTGTTAGTGAGAATAATGAGGCTTTAAACAAGGAAAAGGGCAACATGGAAAATGTAACATTAGCCTTCAGAAGTACGATTTCTGCAAGTGTTGTTATTAAGCAAAGAATAAGGCATGCCTGAATCTAAGTGCCAGCACACTGATCTGGGAAGAAAGGCTCTCTTCCTTTGCCACTTTTTGTAAAGAACAAAAAGCAACTCTTTTGTAGTTACTGGGAGAACAGTGATAGTGACAATAAAACATACAAGCAAAAAGAATGGGGGGAAAAATCAAAATTCCCCATAATAATAAATGATTGCAGTAAATAAGCTGGCTACAAATAAAGTATTCTCAGTTATTCTTTAA